ACGAGATGCATCTTCTCGAAACTAAGCTCGATCGCGAAATCAAAATGGGGGCTGAGTCCATGGGCGCTCTCCATCACTTACAAAAGCGTATATCTGCCCATTGCCACGTACGAAGGATCAGCTTGGGGAACAAAATTGCAAAGCAGGAGTAGATGCATCCTCGAGCAGAGTCAAAGAATAGCGCTCCTGAGAACGACTAAAGCTTATAGGACAGCCCCTACACGCGCTCTTCAGGTCCTTGCTTCCGCTGCATCAATAGACATTGTCCTCCAGAGTAGAATTGCAATCCGGCAGCTAAGAGATGGAAAAGAGCCAAAAATGGTAAATTTGTATGCGTCAGATAGGGAAAGACTACGAACTGCACCTAGAAAGCAGATCCTTACAGTTTGGATAGACAACTCGTGGCAAGAAAAATGGGACAGAAGCACCAAGGGAAGGTTAACCCACGAGTTTCTACCCAGTATTGAGGACCGAGAAAAAGCAAAGTGGTTTCAACCAGATTACTGGATCACACAAATAATGACAGGTCACGGAAATTTCAACGCTTACCTGCACCGATTCCGTAGAGCTAACAGCCCACTGTGTCCCGACTGCGGAGTTGATGACAGTGTCCAACACAGACTATTCAACTGCCCCCTCCTTGAGAGTGCGAGGGAACCTCTAAAGCTCCTCTTCCGCCACACTTGGCCACCGACCCTCAACGAACTGGTTAAAGAAAAGAGGACGTTGAGGTCCTCAAGCCTGTTAGCCGAGCTATAGTCGATAAAGTACCTGACTAGTTTTTTCTTTCTTTCTTTTTTCTTTTTTTCTTCCTATGATAAGTTACTTGTTAGATCTTAACGTTTCCCTGAACTTTTAATTCCGGGCTGGTTACTCCTTGTACCCTTATTATTTATTTATTAAAATATTGTATATATATCTTTATTAGAAAATGTATTCAAAAGGATTAACCAGCAAGGGGGACCTATTAGATTAGATAAATTAATAATAAGAAAAATATTTCCCTCCTTCCTTGGGTCTACCCTTTCAGGGTAAGGTCGAAGGAAGCCGTTAAGCACAATAAGATCTCCTAAACTTGCATCCCATTTGAATTAGTTTAGTGGCCGTGGTCCGCCGGTATGGGGTCTCCCTGTGGTACGGCGGGGAGGTGGATGGGTAAAAACAAAAAAAAAGCTGTACAAGTGTAGAATCTGTGGGGATTTTAAGATCATAGAGCCACCAGCTGGGTCGAGCAAAGGCAAAACATTGAGTTGTAGAAACATTGCCTCAATGTAAGAGGATCAAATATCGTCATACGACAACTCTTAGTCGATCCCCATAAGATTTTGCTCTCACCTTTGCACATCAAACTGGAACTAGTGAAACTATTTGTCTACTAGTAGACTGTTTTCAGTCCTCCCAGTATTCCATACGATCACAAATTAGAGCAGGAATTTTTTGTAAGACAAATTCACAAATTTACGAATGACCCAGAACTTGATGCAAAATGGACGATGCCAAAAAGAGTAAACGAGGTTTAAGGTAGTAGAGGGGTTTCTGGGAAGGTAGCCATAAAGATCCTAAATATCAAATCATGAAAAATTTGTTAGACTCTTAAAGCTCTTGTATGCATCATGTGTAAATGTACTCCTACACTTACATGTGCAGTACTTTCTAAAAAATCTTAGGATTCCAGCGAAGAAACGTAGTAAAACGTTCTATCAGGGGATTAAAACGATGGAACAAAGTTACCGAGGAAGATGGAACATGATGGCAGACTATTGCTGGAATCTCAAGAGGGAATGCCAAATAAAGTTTGGGAGATAATAAACAAAAAGAAAATTTGCCGAGGAGTGAGATACATAAAACCTCGTCTTTGATTTTCGTATTTTACTTGTTATTTATATTCTGCTGTACTTTCGTTGTGTACTGTATTTAATAACTATTCTATCTCCCTATACTTCATCTTCCTCTAATCGTAGGCAACTTTTTCAAATTAGGACACTCTCATCCCGCAGAAAACAAAATATCCTCCAGAAAATCCTCCATAGGACCATCGACTGTCCAGGCCTCCTTCATTCTATTTCCTTCAATGTCCCAAATTATATCAATAGATCCTGCCATACCTTAATATGGATAAAAGCCGATTTTCTCAAGTTCACTGGAATTAACAGAATATTGAACGATGCTAATAATTCACAAATAGATTTTTTCAACTGCTCAATCTCAGATATTAAAAGACAATTTTCCGAGAAATTTTTCTAAAATTAATCGCCAGCAACCCTTTTTCTTTTTTGTATTTTTTTATATCATTTTTGTTTTAGTATTTCTTCTTAAGCAATATTATTTTTCGTTATATTTTTATATAGATTTTTTTTTTCTAAATTTTACAAATTTCTATTACCTACTATATAATAGTTAATTTAGTTTTCAATAATGCTAAGTTTAACCTGTTCTCATTATCATTAATAATATATTTGCAATTCGATTAGTTTTTTTGCAATATTTTTAGTCTAATATGTTAATATTATTAACAAAACTTATATATAATTTAATTTCAATCTATGCATATTTTTACTATTATTTTACCTTTCCTTATAAGTATTACATGGGCTCTGTTCGTTCTGTCCGTATGTAAAATAAATAAATAAATAAAAGGGGGCGTCGGCGGCCGCAAGGTTTAGTCTTTGACACGGTGCTCATCACTGTAAGGTAAAGGTCACGGGTTCGAATCCAGCAGGCCCTGCATTCAAATTAGTTTCAAAATCAGTTTTTTTAAAATTATTTAATATTTTCTTCATTGCTTCTTCCTCTTTTCCTTCATTTTTAAGCAGAAGGTATAGTACACTTCAAAAAGAAAAATATAGACTGACATATCATGAACACTTGCAAATTGACTTTTAATAAGACTTTTTCTGCACGAGAGTAGTCCTTGAGACTAAATCTTGCTTGATCAATAAATAAATCATCTATTCATTCATCCATTCTCACACTCACTCACGCACTCGGGTCATTATCTATAATTCACTCTCTCTCTCACTCGCTCACTCAATCGTGCACTCTCTCTCTCTTTCACTCACTCGCTCACTCTTTCACTCGTTCACNTCTTTCACTCACTAACTCTTGCTGTCTCTCTCTCTCTCTCTCTCTCTCTCTCTCTCTCTCTTTCACTCACTCCCTCACTCATTCTATCTCTTTCACTTACCTACTGATTTTCTTTCTCTTTCACTCTCTCTCTCTCTCTCTCTCTCTCTCTCTCTCTCTCTCTCTCTCTCTAGATTTGCAAGATTTTTAAAGAAAACGATAATTATCTATTCATTCATTCTTAATTTTTATCTTTTCAATTGCATATATGTATAATATAACCAAATAACTTGTTCCTCAAGTTATTTTCGTATTGTACAATTTAGAAAAAATCTTTACGTAATAAAAGGAAATCGTTGTCCTATTCAAAAACACTACTTCTCACTCATCGAAGAAAAAGCAATTCAAATGCTGGGTTGTGTTAAACCTACAAAACAAACCGGTTGCGAGTGTCATAATTATTGTTGAAAGGCTAAAAACTACTTTAAGCTCGTAGCCTTTTTTTAAAGCTATATCTATATTATTGATCATTTATGAGTAAAAAAAGACCATTTATCGTCAAAAACTGTGAAAAGTTTTAAAAATTGTAGCCATAGGTTTTTTTTTATCATAATTTATAAGACGTCATTATTTTCAAGGAAGGCCATTCAGTTGCATTACGAATTAATTAATTCACCTTTGAAGTTCACATTAAGCTTGCGCAAATGTTTGAATTTTTTTAAAGCTGTAATCTAAGTTTTCTATTTATTAATTTTTAATATGTTGTCTAAAGTAGTACAGTCCAAACTATGGAACTCCATAATAGAGAATCTATGTTTGAAGAAAACTTCTTTTAGTCCCAGCACTGTTAACAATGGAACTAAAAGAAGTTTTCTTCAAACACAGATTCTCTATTAATTTTTTAAAAAATTTAATAGAACTTTTCTATGAGGTCAACGGCCATGAGTAGAAAACCTCTGAGGTAACCCACCCCGCCCCAAAATTCGTTCCGGTTTTTCTTTTCCTCCTGCAATTCGCTCCAGTTCGCGGGAATAGAATCAAAATAGGTCAATAAAACTCAATAACTTTAGGGGTTTACGACGTAAGGCGAGATTATGCCCATTGCCGAAATTGGCTGAACATTCATCGAAAGTTGATATGTATCGTTAATATACAAACAAAAAATCTGTTCATATATAAAATAATAATAATAATTAACAGGGCCGTCGGTGGTCCCAACGGTTAAGGCGTTGACAAAGCGGTACTATAAGGTAAAGGTCCCGGGTGCAAATCCAGCTGAACTGCGTAGTTACATATGAACTTTTTTTAAACACTAGCGTCACGAGGGTTGATATGACCTCTGCTGGTGGGAACCCATGTAAAAAAATTAATAAAAAAGTCACCGGATTTTCCCAAATCCCTTGAGTTCTGGATGCAAATTTTTTTCACATCCTTCTCTATCACAATGGTGAAGGAAAAACTATACATCGTTGTGTAAGAAATACCCAAAAGAAAACTTACAGAATTCAATTAAACGTCGATTAATATAGTAAAGCAAATAATTCAATAAACAATTTACATTTCTTTAGGTTACCCTCGGAGGATATGACGCCTGTGAAGAGGGGTCATCCTCTCCTGATTAAGAAAAGCAAATCAACAACTCAAGCAAATCAATATCATAAACAACAAATCCGATTAAGCTATTGTGAAAAAAAGAACATTCGACAAGTCTAGAGACCTTTGAAGTCCTTTCGTCCAAATTTGCAATGCCCATTCAGCTATTTATTTACATAACTTACAATTTAGCCTTAAAGAAATATAAAAAATAGTTTTAAGGTCTTTATAAGCATATTGTTATTTTGTTGAATATTTATATGTAATTATGTTTTTTAAGGAGTCTATTGAACGTTATGAGACACTTTTTGTCGGTAACACCTCTTCTTCTAATTCTGTTACAGCCTGACGGTGACAACAGAATTAGGAAATGAGGCAACTATCGCACCTGTCGACGTGGAAGAGGAATACTCGGCCAATAAGTATCTAAGGATATCCATAAAGTGAGTTGTAATTATACGAGTAATAAACTTTAATAATGTATGCTTCGAGAGGTTTTCGCAAGGTTTTCAAAAGAATTTTGCCCTAAGATTTTCTTTTTTTTACTTGGTTTTTAAATTTTTTTTCACGTCTTCTTCTGTAACATTTAGGCCGCCGGTTGATAAAAAAGCAAGTATATAATTCAATTTATTATCTGAGATTACACTGAGTGTAAACAAAAAATTATCCGTTCGGTTGACGACCCCGAAAAAATAGAAGAATTTCAAAGGCGCAGATCTCCCCTTAAAAAATTGAAAATTCGTTTTTGGCGTATTACGTAAAACAGATTTTCAATTGTCTCTGTGCGCACGAGTCAGGAGTACTTATTATCAAATAATAGAAAGTAATAAATTTTTTTGCAACACTCATGAAATATAACTTGATTAGATTAATATCGAAATTATAGTAGGCAAAGAAAAACTATTTAAATTTTTTGCCTGATCAGTAGATAAAATTCTATAAATTCCACCCGCGATTTTATAAGCGATAATGCGTTTTGTATTCTTTTCCGAACAATATGGAAGGAAATTTTATTTTCCTACTTGATTATTAAGTTAAAGCTTAACAAATCCATTATATTTCGTGGTCCAATTGACCAAATAACTTCTTTCAGTTAATTAATCTTTATGAATATTGGTTGAAATGAAAAAGTGTCACGAGCGGGATTGGAACCCACACCGCTGCTGTACCACTTGAGCTGTCGTATCTTCGATCCACTCGGACACCAACTCCCCATCTCAACCTACCTTTCGAATTTTCCCTCTTTTTGCCATTTGCCAAATGTCGTGTAATCAGGATTCGATTCTCGGCGACATATGAAGTGGCCACGAAGAGCTGTAAGTGAAAATATACTTCGTTTTACTTACTAAATCCACGTGGTCGAAAGGTAGGTTGAGATGGGGAGTTGGTGTCCGAGTGGATCGAAGTCACGATAGCTCAATTGGTAGAGCAGCGGCGTATTTAACCGAAGATCGTGGGTTCGAATCCCGCTCATGACATTAACTTTTTCATTTCAACTAATACCTTACATAAAGATTAATTGATTTAAAGCTTAACTTTCTTTAATATAGGGCGTTCTTACTTGTAAAAATGACAAACATGTACATCCTCCGATGGTTTATGTTTGTAAATCCCTTGGACGTACTTCAAACCCTCCGTCAAAAGATAGATTTTTAATTTATAACGTAATCCTACGAACTTTTCTCTCCTTCGGAAGTATTCCATCGTCACTGTCATCCCTAAACCACACAAACCTCCTAGCCGCATATCCTCCAATAAATCCTATTAGCCTTCGTCCTGTGATGGCTAGGTTCCTCAAAAGACTATTTTAAAGTTACTCATCCTGGATTCCCATAATACCATTCCTTCTCACAAATTCGGTTTCGGATCCAGCAGGGTTTTAGAGTTATTCATATCAATTCCTCCACAAAGTCTATTTTTTTCAATTATTTGCCTTTTTTTATATTCTTGTTGCTCCGAATTTGAATATCGGGAGTTCTCATTGCCGTCGGAACTGCGTGCAATGGCGGGTGATATTGGCATCGAGTTATTTATTGACGAAAAAAATGTCCCTGAAGTGTGGAATGTGGGCATGAAAATCAACATGATCGCTTCAAGAAATGATCTGCTCGTATAAACATTTACAGCCTTTTCAGTTAAGGATTCGACTGTGATTATCTTGATGTTCTCATAAATCAGGAAAAGTATCCTCGAAAGTCTCAAATTTGTTTATGTATGTTTATGGAAACATTAACGTCCATTATTCAAACCATGTTTTCTTTCGTAGCCATCCAGCTTGTCGGACGGCATATGCGTACTGGCGGTATCTGAAGTACTTCAGTTACTAATACAATGTGAGAATAGCTGCGTCTCCGTAGGGGGACTAGACCATGTATGGACGGTAAAACCGTGTGTGCAACGGGCCTTAAAAAATAAAATAAATTCTTGGTCTCTTCCCAATATATGGCCTAGGCTTCCGATAAAGCCTGGCATCCCGGAATCCTCATAAACTCAAACATATCCTTATTACCTTACGTAATTAATTGACTCCTATGTCAGTGATGTGCGGCACTGACCACTCGAAGAGAAGACAAATACAAGCCGACGTATACAAGACCATTCGTACATACCATATACCTGCTCACCTTTGGATGGTGAATGATGATTATTATTAGGGGTCTTCCAGTCTTTTGGCTTGTATTTAGTCCACTCCCCTATTTCCTCCTTAATTCACTTCACTTGACTCGATTCTCCAGAAGAAATAAGGTCATCGGCTTGTCTTTACTACCACTCCAAGATCTTTTTGGCTGTCACTATCGAGCAGTTGCTTCGCATCTTTGAATAATCTAATATTGTGGAGGTTTTTATTTTCAAACATTAGTGATGTAAAGGGCTGAATCATTTCTCTGACAAAACCTACCAAACGGTATAATTTCGTCTCATAGTTAGACTCTATCCAAGCGAACATCCTCCTCTAGTTTATCAAAGAATAAAGTGGATTACAAGTCTGTATAAAACCGTGAACAATTAGCATTTAAAACACTGCCTTGCCCTCCACTTTACCGACATCAAGGCAAGTAAGATACATAGTTCAACATTTGGCTGAAAAGATTTTAAGAAAAGAATTTAACAGAACCCTTGAACACTGCTTCTAGGACAGAAATCAATCATGGATGTAAAATTCCAACTAACTTTACTTCTTTTGGGTTCCTACAAGCTATTCATTATCGAGCGAATTCAGTTTTTTCAATCAAAGGTCCTCATAATTGCCAAAGCTCCTGACTAAATCACTAACCTCACTATTCACAACGACCTCAACATTCCTTTCGACACCAAATTGTCCATTTCCCTTTTCCTAAAGTTCCAAGTGCAGATTATGAATAAACTAAGGAAAAAGTTATAAAAATTATACCATGAATCAGTGTGCACTCTCGAATTTTATTCGTTTAAGTGGCAAAATTTGTTTGAAGTTATGCATTGCAATTATGAAATGAGTCGTTTTTCTATCCTCGAATCGAATAATTTTGATTTTATTACAACAGGACGTTTGCAATTTTCTATTATTCTCACGGAAAAAACCCCCCCGAGTGAACGGAGGTTGACACCGTTTAGGAGACAATTTGCAAACTCTGATGGGCTGACAATTGGCATAGATTGCCTTGAATTAGAGGGCAGACAATGATCCTCTCAAACGGTCTTTTATGAACGTACGCCCTTTCTGACTCAGCTAAAAATTTTCACTATGGATTATCCAGATTTATTATTAAAGGAGTTTATTTTTTATTATTTTAAATTTTTTTTTTATCGAATACACTCCCTCGAAAATCAGGTGAACACTAGTTCTGAGTCTTTCAAAAGTGACCTTTCTTCCTTTAGACATACGATAACAAAAATGATACTTAACATGTTTTTGTATGTCTTGTGGCAATCAAAAAATAATACAGAATAATACACAGGAACACATAAGAAATTTATTAATTAGAAAGAAGACATAAAAAGAACACATAAAAATTTATGACTATTTGAACGACACACCACTGAGATTTCTACACTTTAGAGCCCAATTTTTGGAAAATCTAAGAACTCAAACTCCGTGATGCTCCATGATGGAAAATTGACATAATGCAACAGAGATATACCTAGGCCCAGGCACAAAAAAATTCAACTCGAGAAAACTTTAAAACTCCCAAAATAATATTACATACACTAAATACACACTACATTACATAAAAATCAAACTTATAAAAAATTATCTTCTTTTACAACAAATTATAAGACAGGAATGACATCAGAACACATAGGTCAACCAGTGAAGATGCCGAAACGCGACTGAAAGACAATACTTGAGAAATTAGACAAACGTGGATATTAAGAGACGACCGAAAAGTCCATCCCCAGTCTGGCATGACCATATTGATACACAAGTTAATAGAAATGATGTTTTGAAAAGTTGCTCCAGTAGATCCAGCTTTAGTCAATGGACGAGCTTCTTCCGCACCCACGCAGTCCTGACCTTGGTCCATCAGACAATTTTTCGAGTAATGTTCAACGTCATTCTGGGGAGATGGAGATCCTCCATCTGGATATTGAATGAGATGAATGTATTGTGTGTAATCCAGGCCGCACATTTCCCGACATTCGCAGCGCAAAACCATCAAAAATGGGCAAAATTAAAACCTTGTAGTTCTGACCTTCATACTACTTCATTTTACGAGCAATATCCTCCTTTTGACAAAATATCGTTTATTATGCCAGGCGCATACTTCGACACACAGTGAAAACTCTTTCCATATTGGATGTAACAAGCTTCTACCCTGCCCACTATTAGTCCTAACCAAGATCCATCAGACCTCCTTCTTCGAGCAATGTCCAACGTTCTTTAGGGGAAAATCCTATGAGATCTGAATATTTCTAGGAAGAAAGTGTTATTTAATGTGTTAGACGCACACTTCTCGACATACAGGTAATAAACAGTACCGCTCCCGCCCTATAGTCTTCACCATGGTCTATCGGACAAAATTTGATTCCCGCAATGATCAACATTTTTATAGGAAAATTCTAAATATTCGGATATTGAAGGAAAGATAATTATTTTTTTGTTGTGCTAATCGTCTAAGTCGTCGAATCAAGTAAGTCTTCTCCACACACTATATAACCTTGACCATGGTACTTTAGACTAGTACCTCCTTCGAGTAATGTCCAACATCCTTTATGGGAAAATTCCGAACATCCAGATATTGTATAGAAAGAAAGTTTTTTCATGCTGAACCAGCATTGGGTCACTTATTGGGTCCGTCTTCACTCGCGGGTTTTTTTTCTTTTTTTACATTCATACGCATAAATACATCCATACAGTACACTCATTCCGTTTGGTCGGTGGAGTACTTGATATTCTTCCACCGACCCTATATTGAAACTAATCTAGATTGGGGTAGATGGAGTTCTTTTATAAATATTCCGCCATCGACCCCGAACACACACTGTTACGCTCTCATCGTTCGAGGCGTGATGATGATGTTATATTTCACCCTCACCCCTCGCCATTCACGCTAATAAATACATGCACTCAGACAAAACATATAGACACAACACATAAGACATACTATATACAACAAAAAACCCTAATTTCCCCTAAAAAGCGGAACAGGGGACTGAAACTCGCTACCGTGTTCGAGAACTCTTCTTAAGTCCGGCGGCATGCCTACACGCTCTCTGTATGGAGCTAAGGCATGACACGCCTCTATTATGTGGGACACATCGAGCAACCTTTCTCTGCATAAAGGGCACCTGCGCGGGTTTTGGCCCAAAGCAGGTGCCCATGTGTCAACCGCGTATGGCCAATCCTCAGTCGGGTGAGGACGATCCCTCGTCTCCTGCTCAGATTCTCTGAGGGCCATCTACCGGTCGTGCTCTTGATTCGCAAGAGCCTCTCCGACGACTCCGCGGGTTTGTTGAACTGCTCAAACATGATTCAGCATTGCGCCATCTTCAGTGAGGAACTGTTCCAGTAAAGTCGGATCCAATAAGAAACCCAGTACTGGTTCAGCATGACTTCACCGACTCGCAGACCAACACTCAACACCAAAGTTTTTTTTATTAGCCAGTTGCACACTCCCCGATATGCAAAACCGTTCCAAAATGGATAGAATCAAGCTTCTTCCGCGCCTACCCTCAAGTCCCATGATCCTTCCGACAACTATTTAAAACAATTTCCACCGCCTTTATGGGAAAATTGTACACCATCCTGATAATTCGTCTGCCTATTTCGAGCAATGGCTTCCTTTTAGAGGAAATTCCTATGAACATCGAATATCGGATAAAAATAAAGTACCTATTGTTTTCAGTGCCGTGACGCAAATTCTCTGACGTACAAAACTTTCCAAATTAGATGATTAGCTTCGAGCTTCTATTGTCCTGACCTTGCATCTTCAGACTACCACCTCTTGCGAACAATGGCCGACTTCTTGCCAAGGGAAAATGTTTCCTATATTAAAAAGTTAAAGATTCAGAGTTATTAGCCACAATAAAACAATTAATTATAGAGTAAGAATGTGTGTTGTATGTAATTTATTGTATATGTAAATTTATCGTACAATTGTTGTCTATCATTCATATTTGCGATGATGCAGGATAAAAAATAAACTGCTCATCTTTCATCATTTGCCTTCTTTCCCTTTGTAAAGCCTCTAACATATTTAGAAACTAAAAAGATCAATTTTTTAAATTTTATGTTAATTTAAATGATTTAAAATCATAATAAACACTTAATAGCTTTGTTTGAATGTAACTAATACAAAAATTTGTTTTCTAAAGTATATGCAAGGAAGTAATAAATTCCATTACAAATAGACTTTTTTGACCTTCTGTGCTTTCATTGACCTCAAGACAGCTGAGAGCGTTGAATGAGGAGGCTCCATTGACAGAATTATTCGAATTAGCATCAATGACCTTTTGGCTTGAATATATCCATTATATTTGAGCAATCGTATCGGATAATAACTTAATCCTTATTATCGAAACATGTACATTATACTGAGACAATTCAAGTATTTTAATTTACTGACCGTAACAGCGATCTTCTTCGGTAAATTAGGGAAAATCTTCGATATCTGTTGGGAGTAAGTAAATTTCAGGTAATTCATAACAACATTTAAACAACAGCGCTGACACAAAAACAAAATACCCGGCCGTCTCATAGAATAGATTGTACACAGAAAAAAAAATTCTTTCTAGTTTTTTTAAATAAAGTTCGGTTCAGAGGCAGATCCCTTGACTTAAGCTTATCAACTTAACCCGCCATAAAGATTTCGGACAAGATAAAAGAAATAAATTTATTTAGACTTTCCCTTTACATAGAGATAATCGCACCGAATGGCTTCCGTCGTCACGTTCATCTGTTTGCCCAAGATCTTCAAGAATCTTTGCATAATGAAGACGTCGGTTTTCTGTTTCAGCAAAGTTCAGGTCGTATCTAGTTACCTTGGCCTAGTCGTACCGATTCTTGTTTCAATATACTACTCATGGGCGAACAAACAGAGGCATATAATCAATCATATCAGAAAACAAATTTCAACAGTAGACTTTGAGCTTCTATTCAGCACAATAAATGTAGGTGAGTAATGTTTCTTTTCTCTTTTCTTTGATTTGTTTTTATTTTTATTTTTGATCGGTATAATTTAGTACTGTTCAAATCAGCTGGCCATGTGTTTACTAAGCACAAGTTGAACAGGGAAATTTTAAACATTTAAAATGGAGTATAAAATTTTCCACTTCTGTTTACAAGCAGGTTTAATTTTGTCTTCATACAATGGCGGACATGAAAATTCGTTTTATTTAAAGTTAATGAAGCGTACACAAATTGGAAAAAATTTTTTTTACTCCGCATTATTCACATTTTTATTCCATTAATATAAAAGAAAATACAATTAAAAACAATGTAAAAATATGAAAAATTTTAATTATAGACTGATATCCAAAAGGATTTTTTTTATCAATTTGTGAAATAATTTTTGGTTTTTAATACCCCAAATCTTTGATTACCATTTGATTTTAATTGGCTTTATATCTCACTACAATTACTATTTTATTGCCCAGATTAATTATTTTTTATGTTTTATGTTAAAATTGAACACCAAACCAGTGAAAAAACCAGAAATCGGCCTTATATAAAATTCATCAGTAGGACTGTTTTTCCTTAATTAAACAAAGAAAATGAAAAATTTTAATTATAGACTAATATCCAACAAGGATTTTTTTTGTCAATTTGTGAAATAATTTTTGGTTTTTAATACCCCAAATCTTTGATTAACATTTGATTTTAATTGGCTTTTTATCTCACTACAATTACTATTTTATTGCCCAGCTTAATTATTTTTTATGTTCAAGAGTTAAAATTGAACACCAAACCAGTGACATAGCCAGAAATCGGCCTTCTATAAAATTCATCAGTAGGACTGTTTTTCCTTAATTAAACAAAGAAAATTAAAAAATTTAATTATAGACTAATATCCAACAAGGATTTTTTTAATCAATTTGTGAAATAATTTTTTGGTTTTTACTACCCAAAATCTTTGATTACCATTTGATTTTAATAGGCTTTATACCTCACTACAATTACTATTTTATTGCCCAGCTTAATTATTTTTTATGTTCAAGAGTTAAAATTGAATATCAAACCAGTGCCTAGCCAGAAATCGGCCTTCTATAAAATTCATCAGTAGGACTGTTTTTCCGTAATTAATCAAAGAAAATGAAAAATTTTAATTACAGACTAATATCCAACAAGGATTTTTTTTATCAATTTGTGAAATAATTTTTGGTTTTTAATACCTCAAATCTTTGATTACCATTTGATTTTAATACGCTTTATACCTCACTACAATTACTATTTTATTGCCCAGATTAATTATTTTTTATGTTCAAGAGTTAAAATTGAACACCATACCAGTGACATTATCAGAAATCGGCCTTTTAAAAAATTCATCAGTAGGACTGTTTTTCCTTAATTAAACAAAGAAAATGTTTTTTTATTACATCATTCAATTTAAATTAGTTAACGAGATTATTCTTTTGATTTTTTTTTTTTTGATTAATGTAAATCAAAATGTAGTAATGGAACTCTTTTTAAATGTCTTTTGTCTTGTCTGAAATGAGAGTATGCAAAAAAGGCCGTGAAATTAAATTTCAATTAAATTTCACCAACCATTGTTTTTTTGGTTTTTTAATGTATAGCTTAAATTCAATGGTGTTTAGCATGTACTTAAATTAATTTGTTTCGTTTCAATTCAGTGAATAAGAATTCAGTAAATGCATGATAAATGTGTATTTTTGTATACATTTTTATTTTATTTTTTTATCTTTTTAATTTTAGGCGATGTTCTTCAAGTAACCGTGAGTAACAAGTTGGTCCGTTCTCTCTTTTACCTCAGACAGGACCAGCAGCTGAAACCATGCCCCGAAAAGAGTGTCAACTGCGAGGTGTTACATGACCCTGGTGAAGAGGTCCGAGAGGCGGATATAATTTTTATACATGGGATTAAGGGGGCCCTTCACAAAACATGGAAACAGGGGATTTGGCATCTCGGACAGCTTCAAGTAATGTTTTACTTACATGGATATAGTGAGCAGATCATTGAGTGCTTTTTCATACGACAGGTTTTGAACATGAAAGAGGATACGACGTGGGATGTCAAGACGGTGGAACTCGGGGAAGAACGGTCCGTATGTTGGCCGAAGGATTGGCTTCCCAAAGACTGCCCAACGGCTAGAGTCATTGCACTCAATTACACAACCGACCCCTACTTGTGGCGACCATTCTTCTTCAGTAAACACAATAGGTATTAACAGATAATTAATTAATTGAATTACTCAAAGGATTATGAGTGTTTCTGGATTTTAATTATGGTGTTAATTAGTGTAATTTATGGTCAGATAATTTAAAGTCCTGCACTTGGAATAAGTCCTGCTTGAACTGTCCTGCTTTCAATAAGCATTTGTTTAAAAAATCGACCTTAAAATTTAAATTTGTCTGTTTTTTATGCTTTTTTTAAAGAAAATATGACAGCAAATGATTGGCTTAAAGGAGCTAAAAAAGCCTACCCAATTAAAACAAAAAATAAAGAATATAAGTTCAAACAAAAATAGAACACCAGTCTAAAATAAAAATAAAATAACAGCCAAAAGAAGAAAATAATACTAAAGTGATTTCTGTCATACAGAATGGCATAAAATTGCAAGTGTTGGGCTTGGATTTGAACCTAAAACTGCTCGTCAAATACAAGAGTTTTGAATTTAAAAATGCCCATGTTAAGAAAAAAATTCACGTTAACCTTGCTATAAGCTTTAGCTGAGTCAATAAATAAGTTGAATCTAATTAACTTTGGGGCTTGCTAGGATTCGCTGCTAACCTAACAGCTTTTCCTTCCAACTTCAATTTAATTTGATAAACAATTTTTATTGCAGTAAGTATATTTCAGCTGTTTGCTTATGCTTAGCAGTTATGCTTAACAATAAATTTAATTTAATTTGTCTCTAGGACCTTGGCGAGGTATTATAGTTAGTAATAACATTTTATTTATAATATTTAACTTATAGGGTGAAAATATAGTACAAATTGTTTTTAGAAATTAAATAAATGAGTTTAGGGGGGGATTGTTTTATATTTAAACATTAATCATTTTTAAATTTATAAAAATAGTAGTTAATTGTAAAGGCCAAGAAAAGCCTGTTTGAAACGCTCAAGCTTCATTAGAATAATCAAAATTTTAATTATACATTTCAAGAACGTGTGATTTATGCAGACCCTAGATTAAACAGTGCTGTAACAAACGTATGTAATCATTGTGCTGTTTGATAAAACGGTTGAAAAGTTTTGTTTAAATAAACTAAGGCAAATTAAAAACAATAATAATGTGTTTTCTGCTAATAATTTTTTTTTTTGAAATGATGAAAATTGTAATTATTTCCAGGACCAACATGGAAGAAAGGGCGTGGGAGATGATCCACAATCTCCTTGAGTTAGGGGTTGGGAAACATTCCATTATATGGGTAGGACATTCCAAAGGAGGGCTGTATGTTAAGCAGATGCTAGTCAATGGTAAGCTTTATTTAAGGAGAATTCTAACAAAATTTTATCTTATCTCAACATAATTGGGATAATTTTGAATTAAAAAACAAGGATGAAGAATTTGATTTTAAAAAAAATCAGGTCATCCTTTTTCAAATCGACCTCATTGCTCATTTTTAAAACAAAATTAAAATATAGAACTAAACTCAATCTTTGATTAATCTGGCTGTCTATTCTAGCTGGTTTTGTCTTTCACAAAACTTTCTTCATTTAGACATGTTCAACAGTAAATTTGTACAATCCAAGAAGATATTTTTACAATAAATTTTGTTTTAATTAAAAAAAACTATACAATTTATTTAAACTGGTGATAATCTATTGATTTTATAGATATATATTAACTGTTTGCTTATACACCTAAACCCACCCTTATTGCAATAAATTCAACCAATACCTTACATAAAGATTAATTAATTTAAAGAAGTTATTTCGTCAATCGGATCACGAAATATAACGGACTTATTGTAATAGTTCATTTAGTTGAATCAACCTCGTACTTTTAAAGAATTAACTCTTGCTTGGTCTTCTTCAGTCGTCTTACAATATGCTGACTTTGTAGCAGATGGCAGGCCTCGTTGTTCAGGTGGCTTTGAAGATGGAGATAGCATCTGTTTGATTTTAGTGATGAGGTGCGAGATGTTCTATTGCTTACATACTGAGGAGCATCTACCATTATTATTATTTTTTTAGTGTTTTATTTTGAAACCATCATGTTATGCTACACCCTCCCACAACCTCAGAGTTGCATACATCATGGTGTAATTCTTATTTTTATTTATTTTGTATTGATAGTCAGGAATGGTGTTGATATCAGCCAATAAAATTATTGGTATTTGAAGTCAAATTATTTCCCTTTTTTAGGTATTCTTTCCATTTAAATTTTTTACCTTAATATTTTAATGAATATTGCAATGGTACTACGTTAGCTTTGGAGATATATTTGTCTACCAATTTTATATTGGTGAAGTTAACATGTATAACAAAATAAATTTCTGGTCATGTATTTTGATTTTTCAAGTATCTGTCCAGTCATGATGATGTTCAACATCATTTACAGTCTATTCATGGACGTCCGGACACATTTTTTCCATTGAGAGGGCAGCTTCTCATCGGAAAATGTTGCAATAATTAAGTTTTCAATCTATGGTGTCACTTGTATACAGCAAGTATAGAAGGGCTTAAGATGCTCCCTTATGGTATGCCAGTCTTGATTTTGAACAAATCAGAGTATTCGCTTTATGTTCTAGCTTGAAACAATCTTTCCGAAAGGTAAGAGATCAGAAGTACAACAAATTATTTGGGAATATTGTTTTTAGCTTATGTATTATAGCTTTGTTGATATGAAGTCTTGAGATATGTCTAGAAATAAAGCTGAACATATATTTTTATCTTCCGGAGCTTTTGCTATAATTTTCTCTTTAATATCACGGATAGTATGTAATCTAATGTATGGTTAAATGGCAAGTCAAGATGACAGTAAAATTCACGTGTTTGTGAAATAAAACCAGCAAGAATAGGCTGCTAAAGATGACAAGGAACAAAGAAGTTCATCACCTCACGAATATATTTTTTTTAGCTTGTGAAATGCCGGATGAGAAAGTGACGCCACTAGCAAAAAATACAAAAGCGATAATGTTTTACAGTGTGCCACACAGGGGTTCCCCTCTAGCAAGTTTTAATCTTCCACTTTTCAGACAGTCTATCGAATTGACTGAAGTGCAAAAAAGTATGGTATTTTCACTTGTGCTTACAAACATTTGGTATATATTTTATTTTTTTCTGGCAACAGACTGCAAAGAAGTGCTCACCCTTCACACAAAATTTCTGAATCTGCTCAGCTCAAAGCAGCTAGATGTCGAAATTAAAAGTTTTATTGAAACTCGTCTCACTTTGATGGGGATCCTCTACGTAAGAATAGTGTCTGAAGAATCAGCAGGTACAATTGTTTAGTTTCTCATCCTATTTAAATTTTTTTAAAAATAATGTTAACACTATTAATTTGTTTGATATATAAGATTCTTTCACATTTTTTTTCTCTTTTAGACGCTGAAATGGGAGAAATGTATGGTGTTCCTTTGGACCATCGGAACATTTGCAAACCTAAAAACAGGTAAGCGTTCATTAATTGGTGCAAAATAAACAAAAAACACCACATTTACTCCTGTTGATTTTTACAGAGAGTGCTTTCTTTACAAGGAATTGGTAAACATGGTTCAAGACAAGTGTGCAAGCTTGTGATTGTGATAATAGTATAATAATTAAACAAAGTTTTAATATATAATTCTTCCCATATAGTCATTTGTTATTTAAAACAGTAAAGACCTTTTGACAATCAAACAGTCTTTGAGTATTTTGTAACAAGTTCTTTTATTAAACAAAAAAGTAGCTAGTATTATAAAGCTTACAAAGTGATATTTTTGTAATTATATTTTGTCTGTAAACTTAGAATGGCAAATATTAAATGTGGAAGTTTGTAACACCATTACAGTACAAGCTGTTTTATTAATAAATTCTAGCTTTATCTTGACTACAAACTAGAAATTAGATTATAAAAACGGTACTAATTAGATAAAGGGCTGAAATTGTCGGTAGATATATTTTCATGTACACACTCCTTCAAGAGTAAGGATATTTTTATGTGCCAAAATGGAAGCATTTGAAATTTAGGGCCTAGATTATTTTTTTATAAACAGTTTTTAGGACAGCACTTATTTTCTTTACAAATACTTCGTATTGTACTTGATATCTTCTGGTAAACAAAGGAAAGCCTGCGGAAAGAAGAGAAAAATACTTTTCAAAGAATTCATACCAGATGACACAATTTGTTTTAAGCACAGTGTTAAACATGGCCATGTTAATGATTTGAGAAATAAATTTATATCGTTACAAGTTTATTTGCTTTGTTATTGTTACCCGGCGCAATAAAAGATGTAATGTGATTAAAGCTGTGCTTATTAATAATGAGACTACTACCCAAAATGATAATGTCATAAAAAATATATTTTATTACCTGCTGCTGGGTTTACATATGTCCACATGACCCAAAGGTAACTTGTAAATTACACCAGTGCCAGAATCTGCGGAAAAAATATGGTAGAAAACAATTGTGACATAGTGCTTACAGTCGTATATAAAACATTATACGGTTATGTACGAGTTAATCCGTGTTTACATGTGATCAATTTCAAGAATAAAAAGGATATATGAAATTGAGTTTTTTCTGTTATTTACCCTGTATATAGTTATATTTTGTAGCGTGTGGAGAGAGAGAAAGAGAGAGAGAGAGTGAGTGAGAGAAAAACGAGAGAACGTGAGAGAGAGAGAGAGAGAGAGAGAGAGAGAGAGAGAGAGAGAGAGAGAGAGAGAGATTTAATATGTCAAAGCAACATCAATGATTGGACACTGACAAAATTTGTAAATATGAAAGCCAGCACATATATCATCCTCCATTATGCTGGATATTTTTGAAAATATGGAATTTTCAAGGATACAAAAAATATAATCAATTGTAGCGGAGAATTAATAAGTATTTATTTTTTTATTTATTTATTTACGGATCGAAATCCACTATAAAAAAGACATTTTACAATAACAAAAAATATAAATAATGTATGTAAAAATACAAATAATATATATAAAAAGAATAAGGACGTATATCCATGNATTGTAAGCAATCGGAAGGAGAAGTGATTATGGAATGGATTTTCAGATCATCAGCAAATAATAAAAATTGAGCAGAAGGAAGAGCAAGTTGGATATCATTAATAAATAAGAGAAGCAAAACTGAACTAAACTTAAAAACTGCATATTAAAAAAATATATATCTTAAGCATTCGCCAAGGCTGAATTGCATAGAGTTTGTGGCGTTTTAAATGCAACCCATTTCTGCAGATCATGTACAATCATATACGTCAGATACCTCACCTACTTATATCCCTCATATCATGTCATTGGACTGTGGCAATTTCTGTCAAAAATGGCCTCTATTTTTATATTTTGCCATTACTTCAAAACTAGTCTGATGTGAAATGAAAAATAAATCACTCTGTAAATAAATTAATTTAGAGCTAAATCTCTCAGCACCGAGTTCTAACCAGTGAAAGTGGAAGAAAAGAGTGGTTAATTAAACAATGAAAGAGAAATCAATGTTAAGCCAATTTTTGGGTTAATAACTAAAATTTTATAAATAAACCAATCAGCTCCTCCGCAAAAATAAAACATACAAACTGGGAGGATTTATATGCCTTATGAAAAAAAATTTCAAGGAAAAATCCAAATTTGATGGTGGGATTTGAACTCAGAATGCAGTATATAATTATGTTGTAATTTTATTGTTTTTTTTTATTTTCAAAGTTTACATTCATTAAATGTGTAGCTTGACCATCAGTTCTTACAGACAGATTTTGAATGCGGCAAAGTGCATTTGACAGACTACACCAATAAAATTAGGATATCGGAGTTGGTCAATCTACAGGTTCATCACCTCACAGCCCTCAACATATTTTATTTCAATTATAAATAATTATCTATAATACATACTGTATTTGTATACTTTTACATAATTAAATTTTTGTACCCATTGTCATATCAGTTAAGCATTTTAATTCAACGTCCCACACGGAAAATTTAGTAGCTTTTGTCTCATTGAAACTAGTAATCTTCATAGAGTATTTTGAAACTAACTTCTTAAAACGTTCATGAAGCTCAATTAACCCTGGTGAGTCTGTAAACAAAATTTATTTTTGAGAATTAGTCAGTTTCAACATCTCAAACTCGCTGAATATTTACTGAGCTTCAATTCTTCAACCTCTTTAGATGGCATAAAGAAAAAAGCATACAGTTCATTCCCCTGTGCAATTAGAGGGCTACCAAAGTGTGGAGTACTGAAGAAAAATACCGCTTTTGAGTTTTTGCAAAAATTAGCATATCGAGGATCGTCGATTGTATTGGATGCTGTAAAAACACATTTATAATTGAATTTTTTGATTTAAGAGTAAAAAATCACCTTCTAATAGCATGTGTTTTAAAATCAATCCACCCATGGAATGAGTGATCCAAACTATCGGTCTGTCGCCTACACCACATGCGATCAAATTTTCCAAAAGGTATTTTGCTTTTGGTAACAGGCTGAAATAATTGTCATTATTTTTATTTTAAGAAAAATAAATTGTTTAAAAAAATTGTCAGTTTATTGTTTTTATTATGTCTGATGTAAATAAACATGTTACCCTCGACTTCTTATTGGACACCATGAAACCCAGTCCGAAATTGTTGAATAGTAATTAACTCCTATTAATCTTATACCAGAACAGGTTTCAGGAAGCCAATCTTTCGGCCAACATTGGGAATCTCCGCAATAATCATTTGCCATTTCCTCTTGCATTTCCTTACTTCAGAATAAAACTGATCAATAAAAACAATTATACCGATTGAACCGTACATACCAAGTCAGAGTAAATGTGTCATTTGATTCTCCACTGACCCCAAGAGGCAGGTCAGTCATGACAAACTCAAAATCTAAAAGGTCGCAGTCAAGATCTATAGGCGATTTTGTTGTATCTTGACTTTTACGGAATGGCTTTCTAGGCTCGATAACAAAAGGGGTTTCTGTTACAATCGGTGCTTGATTAACGATACCTGGGATTAGTTGCCAAGGGTCCAATTCACTAGAAACATAAAAGAAAAAAAGTATATTTTTGATCGGAATCAAGAGGGAACGTCTTGTGAACCTATTGTGTGGCCCTTTTCGCCAAGTAGAATGCGGTCCACCCATTAACCCATGAACAAGAACCACATCGACCTTTCTTTTTTTCCATTCCAAATTAGTCGGATACAACAAGTAAGTCGCATTTTTGAAACCTCTACCGACTTCACAATCTTTCTCCAAATTAGAAAGAGCCGATGCTGCAGGTGATGAGAGCCTTTGATCCTGATCCTTTATCCATTCAGCCAACAGCCTAATCCATCCTTTAGTTTAAACAGAAAGCTATCTCATTCCATTTTTTAAAAAAAATTATAAATCTGGTACCTGTTTGAAAAAGATCCTGTAAATATTCAGGATGATAGCTGACTTCAACTATTATCTGCACCAGAGGGACCTTGATTTCATAGTTGTCACTATCCAACTGATATATGTCATAAAGGAGTTGGAGACCACCGGCTTCCACAAGGTCTATTCATTCGTATCAGAAAAAATCCATTACACTAAATTTTATATTTATATTTACCACTGACAACATTTCCACTCAAACAATGGTGTAAAATAGACTCAAGAGCCGTTGTAAACAGTTTAGAACCAGTAACTGTCTGCAACTGAGGAAATTCTGAGCAATCTATTTGAGTGTACGGCCTGAAATGTATTTTCTCTTATTCCAACATATTCGGGCATTATTTATTTTTCATTTTGAGATGAAACAGTAACTGACCTCACCTTACGACCAGGAAAAGTTTTGGATAGAAAGTAATCTATGCAAGAATGTTCGCTACATTTGTTCAAAGTTACTAGCAAATCAAATATTCTATTAACAACCCCCTAAAATTGGAATTTTCTTTTAATTTAAATAAATAATTGTTGGATATGCAAATTTATTGAATGTGGACTTTGAATTAATACACTTTATTATAAATACACCAAGCGTTCAGTAATTCACATTTAAAAGGTGTAGAAAGGTCTTTTAAAAAAATTTGAATCTTTGACTGTCAATGTGTCTTGCATTATTATTTTTATTAATACCTATGTATATTGCCAAGGAAGGCCAAATATAGAGCCAAAAGTTTGGCGTATGTATAATACAGTATAATATGTATTGCTTGAAGAACAACATGTCCAATAAATTCTCAAATCCAGAGTGTATCAAAGTTGGTCGATAACAAAATAATATAATTAATTTTTGCAAAATAATTTATTTGATTGGCACAATATATAAAATTATGTATAATTTGTTGTTAAAGAAAACTTTTCCATGGGGTTTTTTTAAATTTTTCCTTTTATTTTTACATTAAATTTTTTGATGTTTTGGGAATTTACACCCATCTTATTACACCCAGGTTATTACGAGATACTGATGAGTGTAACTTCCCAAAACATAGCAAAAATTTAATGTATAAATATAACAACAAATTTATTCAAAAAGCCACATGAAAAATTTTAAAAAATCCACAAATTATAAATTTAAAAAAGGCAGTCTTTAAAAAAGTCGTGTTACATAATAAAAATTATAAAATTATTTGTGTTCGGGAACAAAAATATTGAATAAACCATCGTGTTGGTTCAGTGATGATGAAATGCAGGAAAAAGCTGTAAAAACATTGTTGATATAAATTGTCTTTAAACTATATTAAAAAGACAATACAGTAAATAAAAATGTCAAATTGTCATCTGGAAATGAAAATTTAAAACTGCAATTTAACAAACGACAAAGTAAACTACAGTTTTTGTGTTTTATCTTCAAGAGTAAAATTTCAATGAAAATTTCATGGCTTTATCATCTAGTTTTCCACACTGCATTGACATAAGAATTTAAAAAACCAAGCAAATGGCACAAATCTATGTTCACCGGTTTATTTACCTCCACTGATTTTGTGGGGTCTTTTGGAGAGTGGAATGGCTTTCGAAAAAATCTTATATCTGCATCTTTCATCCTCGCAAGAGTCACTGCAGTTTTCGCATCACACAGCTGTGCTAGATGGTTGTAGTCAGAATCTAGATGACTTTTTATTAGCAAGAAGAACTGAACCAAAGTTTAATTGTAAAATATCTAGAAGAACTTAAGAACCTTCGACTTACCTGTAAGGGTGAATCTCTTTATGATATGTTCAAGTGGCCTTACTCTGTTTCTCCAACAGTCTTCTTCTTTTGACATTTGAAGCAGTCTCCACATGAGGTCAGTCTTCTTCTTTTCCCACCACATCAAAGGGGAGAAATAGTATTCAAAATCTATCCATTGTTTTATTGTATCATCCCAGAGAGTTGGCTTTAAAGGATAATCTAAAGGAAAAACGTACACGTCTTCTCAAAAAAAAGGCCATGTTAAAATTATCGACATACTTGAATCTTTAGTCATCACTTCATCTTCAACATAAATGTAAAACGGATTTTGCCGCCTTCTTAAAATTGTTGGATCGACAATATTTTCTATTGTTTTTATTGTCGAGCGTACCATCAGTCCTAAAGTTCCAGCACTAAAATTTACAACTCTTATTATAAGGCAGCCACCACAACAACCGCAAAGATTTTCTTAAGGTGTAAATAAAAGAAGCTAAGATAAATAAAAATACGTGGAAAACCAACCCAGTTAATGTAAGAGCTGAAATAATTATGTGCTTCCGTTTCATTCGAAATAAATAACTTCAAGGGATAACATTGAACTGTAAATCTTTCTAGTAACAGAAGATCATCAACCAGATAGGTATCTGAAACAGCTGGATCTTCAAATAAATTTGGTGTTGTTAATACTAAAAATTTGGAGTCAATCAATTTTGAATGTTAGCAGTATCAATTTTTGTTGTAAAAATTACAGCAATTTTATTTTTATGACATATAATCAGACATCTGGAGTGCTTTACAAAATCCAAAGTTTAAAATCAAATTTATAAATGTGTGATTTAGAAAATGTATTTTATTACATTAACGTCATACAAATTTTTGATTATTATTATTATTATTTCAATATACTGGCAAAGTAACACAACTTCAGACCCTACTTTACTTTTATGACTGAACATCAGGGTTTTATGTGAATTGAAAATAATGGTTTCGCTTGTACAATTTTTATACCAGAAAATTGTTATGTAGCTTGCAAGGAGAGCTCCAGTATTTGAAAATAATAGTTTGTACTGTTAGAAGTAGTAACTATTATTTACGGGCCAACAAACATTAAGTAGTCATCACTGGCCCTCTGTGTTTAAAACTGAAAATTCTTAAAGCTTTTTCTTGTTTTTTTCTCTCACATATCTTTGCCACACACTCTCATATTTTGTCTCCTGTTTTCTTAACTTTCTTTCTCAAAAAAAAAAAAAAAAAAATGTATGATTTTAGTAAATAGTAATGAACGCACACTATTTAGAGATACAAATTTGCATCTAAATGGTAAAGAATACCTAAATAGTTGTATGGCTTTATTTAAAGTACAATGGATTGAAATGATGAGATGGTACATAATGTAAGGTAAATGTAATACTTCTAACCATAAGCAGCAGGTTAGATAGACCTGTCTGTCCCTTCTATTGTCTAAACGATTATGAAAACCACTTTACCACTTTATGTCAGTGTGATGAGAAAGCCCTGGCTTGGTAAGGTATATTGAAGGTCACATAGAATTGCTCTACATTAATGGAAAAATCTTGACAGCACTAGTCAATTCTTGCAGAGATGCTTTAACTGTCAAAAGAAGTGTTAATACGAGTTAAAGGGGGGCGGTGTCAGTGTGTGAACGGTTTAGGCTGCTTATCACTGTAAGGTACAGGTCTTAGGTTTGAGCCGTGTCCCTGCATTTGAACCCTATATATTTACAATTGGACTAATTTCCAAAAACATCAGCACCCCAAGGGTTGATAAATACAGTTAAAGAATAGATTTTGTCAACTAGAAATATGTTACAAATATTTTTTTTTAAATAGATGAACCACTGTTGCTTTTTAAAATTGAATTTGATCATTTCATACCATATTGGTCTAACTGTCCACTTCAGTTTGGTCTGTCATTTTGCTTTCTCCATCTTCATCAGTAGATCTGAGTTTTATTTTACCTATTTTGGATTGTTTACCACTGAAGCTGGCAAAAAGCTAAAAAAGCCCAAATCAGCAAAGATGGACCAAAATGATTGTAAACCACCAATCTACAAGTTCACTATCTTACAGACCCCAAGAGGAAATTTCACAATTGTTTTTAATATATTAGTATTTTATACTGTTTAATTTCATTTAAGTTTAAATTCTTTGTTGAATGTTTGACTCTTTTGGATCCCATAAGGTTGAAAAAGCTTAATTTAAGTTTTGTATTTCTGAAGGACTATATCCAGTATAACTCATTAAAAGCTTTCAATGTTAGGATTTTACATTAAACAGAACTATTTTCTTTTGTTAAATAAAGCATAAAAATATGGTGACACTTTTAGAGGGACCGTGGTAGCGAAGTGGTCGGCATGTTAGACTCTCGACTTATAAACCTTGTGGTCGTGGGTTCGATTCCCACCATCAACCCTAGCCCTTTTCTTCATGACACCCTTCCCCAAGAATATAATAAAAACTATCGCATTCTCTGAACTTATATTCTGGCTAATATTGCAATATAAGGCCATAATAAAAAATTTAAAAAAAGTAATTTTTGGGAATCACCACACGTGTGTCTGGCATGTAGAGAAAGGTCCAAGGTGTTCCACTTAATCAAAGGGTGTCATTCCTTAGCTCCATATAGAGGGAGTAGGAATGTCACTAGTACGACAATCGTGCTTGAGCTGGCAGTGAGTATCTCTGGGCACCCTGTTCCGATTTTTGGAGGAAACAGGTTATTTTTTTGTATATAATAGTGATAGTTTTGTGTCCCTAGCATGTGTTGAGAGTGAATGTATGTATTAACGTGAATGTGTAGTGTGAGAAGGCCGATAACGGAATATTGAGTATTAACCCTCAATTGTGTTAGTTATATAGCTGTAAAGGGTAATGGAGGAATATCAAGTACTCCACCATTTTGAGTGAACGGTTTGTAAAAAGGAAATAATGTATTTAAGAGTGAGTGAGAGTGGGAGTAGGTTTCAGTTTAAAAACTGATTGTGTTGGTCTGCTGGTAATTTTTTTTTTCTTTCTTGCAGGATGAAGAATCTGTAGGTTGGTCATTTGTGATCACTGATGATGGTCGGCCTAATCCTCACTAGATTATGACTGTCAGACAGATGATTATAAGTGACCAACCAACAGATTCCTTATTATTTGGCATTAAAAAAAAATAATAAAAAAGAATATGTCCGAAGTTTGTGGTTCGATGATCATCTTAATCCTTCAGTTTAAAGTTATCTTTTAAATTTAGATTTTAGTTTTCTTATCCAAATATCAACTGCAAATGCTGAAATAACGGGTAGATAAATTATCGGCAATATACGAGGAACCATTTTGGAAAAAACAAAACAATAAACAAGAGGAAAATGAAAGTGAAAACGGCAGTTTTGAGGATTAAATACACGTATTATGTTCGTTTTATTTTCAGAGCGTAAAAAACATTTTCCTTCGGTTCATCGGTCCCGTAAATGACATTTCCTACACATAAATATACGGAATGATATAAACTGTGACCGAAGAGACATGTTCACGAAAATTCTCAATCAGCCCCCTTCTGACGCTGGCTAAATTTGTTTGCCTCCCGGGATTGCTGGCCGTGAGGCGCGATATATTTCCCCGGTCTAAAAGTGTTAGTTTTAAATTCAGTATAAATATTTATCAGGAATTCTGCTTTAGAATTCGCCCCAAAACGCATTTTCTTGGAGCTCACAACATTATTCGATAGGGCGATGAACCCGAGGATACCGTACGGCGAGATGGGTTTCGCCAGTTTCGAAAAAGGTGTGCTTGGTGAAACTTCGTCATTGTTTGTTCGCTTACAAAAAACCTCATTTTGCCAATTTGCCATTACGAAGGCCTCAAAATAAAAAACTTTCTTCATCATCCTTCAATTTAATTTAAAATAGTCCTGAAACGTTGTTTATTGAGAAGAGCAACAAGTTATTGTCATTTTTCATAGATACAGCTCATTTCATACCAAAACTTTTACTTATTTATTTATTTTG